GGAATAAAAGTGTTATGAGCAATAATCAGCATGGTTTTCTGAAACAGGTCATGTAAAACTAACCTAATTGCATTCTACGAAGAAGCAAGTAGTAGATCAGGGTACTATAGTACATGTGAGCTTCTTGGATTTTGCCAAGGCTTTTGATATGGTTTCGCTTAATACATTGGTGTTAAAACTAAAAGTAGTTAAGGTGGATGAAAAGTCTTGTTCATGGGTAAAACATTGGCATAAAAATAGTATAGAGGTTCTCATTGGCTCAGGAAAAGGTAAGCACAACCATAGCCACTGTGTTTTTTATTTTGATTACACTAGGAAGTCTCCCTTTCTCTCTCCTTTGAGGAAATCCATTCCAGGCAAAAGGGTGCAGTGTCTCCATACGACACTACTGTGCAAGTGATTTGAGCCTGTCCCTTTAAGGCTCTGATCAATTCCCATCAGCTTCTAACTTCATCTTGCTACTAAAGAAGGGCAGGTGCCCCCCTCTAGAGGTACCCAGGTCTATCATCCAGAGCCAGGTTCTCATTGGCTCAGGAAAAGGTGAGCACAACCATAACCACTGTGTGTTTTATTTTTGTTGAAACTTAATACACTAGGAAGTCTCCCTTTCTCTCTCCTTTGAGGAAATCCATTCCAGGCAAAAAGGGTGCAGTGTCTCCATACGACACTACTGTGCAAGTGATTTGAGCCTGTCCCTTTGAGGCTCTGATCAATGTGAGTTTGACTACTTGAATTATCACCAAAATACATTATCACCTGTGGATTTACACTATATTGTGTTTTATTTTTCGTTTCCTTTATATGTACTGATATACATCTGAGATTTAACCCTATTTTAGGGTAAGTTTATACCTTTAGCGCTCCACTCATTTGATTAGTAGAGTCTGGACGTTATATCCAGATTGTACTAAGCTCACTTTGGTTCACAAAGAAAGATTAACCCATTTAAAACTCTTTAGTTTGGAAAAATCAGTCATAAAATTCTGACACGCAAGTCTCACTTCTCATGAGACTTGCTGTGGGAATATTCCCAGGCGGGTCTGGAGAGAAGAGAGACTTGCCTGTCAGAGCACTCTGATTCTAACAAAAGTAATAATAATAATCTGTAATATAATAGTTAAAGTGAATAATTGGGTCTCCTGGTATACATTTGCATTAGGCAACACTGTATGCTACAAAAAGAGTCTGAACATGGCTAGAGTAATTTATTTTGAATGAATTGTGGAAGCCTGTTATATTACATCATAGATGGGTCTTGTTAGATGTGTGTAAAATTAATAAATTGTGTTCATTCCCCAGATTAAAACATATCTGTATCAGTGTATATGCCTTTAAAATATAATAGATATATGCAATAGTGTAAAAACTTTTTTGCACTCATAGAGTCCGATAATAAAAATGAAAGACTCACACTTTTCATAGCTGTACAACCTAGCTCTGGTTTAGAGAGCTCTAGGGTCCGTAGAAGCGACCCTCCCTTTCTTTAAGATATTTAGGAGACAGAATATATCTAAAGTGCATTATTGCACCAGGAGGCTTATATGTACCGTAGTATAAAAATATACTTACAAGATTCTTTAGAAAGCCTCAGTAAAACAGCTCTGTATCGTTAAGGACCATACCACTTCTTTTGTAAATGCAGGAAACTGGATAACTCAATATATTTAAAAATATATATACTTTATTTTATTGATTTACTTTTAAAATATGTAAAAACAAAAGTGGTATATTTATAAATATAAGCAATACCAATATATGACATGCCAGGTACATGCTTCACCATCAGGCTTCCTCAATCTTATGCAAATAAAGTCTTCCTGTTGTCCTTCCTCTTTTTTTAAACCCTGGTAATCCTTTCATTTGAATCAGGTGGGATGTTAGGGCCCTCTCCCACTGTTCTCGGGAGTGCGCTGTGTCCAAGCCTCAGTTTCAGTCGCAACATCATTTCCAGTATACGCAAGGTTTCATAATTACATTTAATGCTTCTCCCTGATGTTCCTAACAATGAAGTTCATTCTTCAGCATTGCATTCCACTTCAGGAACGTCGGATCTCTACCTTTCTTCATCAGTTCTTACCAACTCAAAGTGGTAGCAGTATATTGCCGTTTTAAGGATAAACAAAATGTGTTTTGGGATACAGTCCACATATAAACAAAGAATAAGTACAAATAGTGACAGATACAAGAAGCTTATATTCCTAAAATTATATTTATATGTGTTTTGAAAAATAAAAAGAATGTTATAAGCAGTTTTAAAAAATATTAATCAAAATATAACATTTCTATGTAATATATTTTTTGAATATGTCATTAAAAGGAAGGAAAAAAGATATGTAATTTTAAAAGTGATAACACCAAAACATTTAGCACTTTAATTATAATTAGCACCCCACAGTAAATGATTTTGTAACAGTTGTGACTACAGTGTGGTAGCTGCTCCCTTTTAAAAAATGTTAAGCATATATAATTGTCTTTTAAGTATATTAACTCACAGCTCTTATGTACAAACATCTTGTCTGTTATTTCTGTATCAGGCTTAGAGCAAAAGGTAAGAATGGTTTTATATACACTCTATAAGTATTGGTGTTTGAATAAAACACAATGGTGAGACAACTTATAGGGTTATTCACTAAAGTGAGGATTCAAAGTTATTCACAGGTGAAGATAGGGGAAACCTTTATATTTCCTTCTTTTTTTAAAAATTTTTATTATGAAATAATTAGGTCCCATTCTATTTTGTTTAATAGTCCACCCGCCGTCCTGAGTGGGGGATATGGAGAGGACAGTGACTTGTACACCCCTCCCATTATTTTAATTTAAAGGGACACTTTAGTCACCAGAACCACTACAGCTTAATGTAGTGGATCTGGCATCTATAACCTGTTCCTGCAGGTTAAGAACTGTAAATGCTGCCTTCTCAGAGAAAAGGCAGAGTTCATATGCTGTCTACTAGGCATGTGCATGGGAAATTTTTTTGGTTCTGTTCGGCATTCCGAAATTCGGGACTTCGGCACTTAAATAACTTCAGCATTTCTGACATTTGGAAGTACCCGAATGTCCGAAATTCGTCCGAATTCATATTCGGACTGAAACGAATTGCGCATGTCTACTGTCTAGGAACATCTCTAGTGGCAATAGCTCAGATGGCCACTAGAAGTGCTTCCTAGTCCAGAATGGTGCACTAAAAGCTCACTATAGAGATTCTATGAGATGCTAATTGGCGTAGTGCTGCATTTTGCAGTGTAATAGCCTTCCAATGCTTTCATATGGCAAAACTTTGGATTGGCTGAGATCATCAGGATTGCTGATCTTAGCCATGGAGGCGGAGTCAGCCACGGCAAGACTGGCGTGGCATGGGAGAAAAGGTGTGTAAAAACACCTTTCTCATGCCATCGGACGGGGTCCAGTCATATGTCATGTTTGCATTGCTGAAACTATAGCGTTCCTTTAAGCCCACACCCTAAGTACATGTGTGGGGCACAGGAGGAAAGGTCACCCTCATTAATTTGCAGGTCCCATGCTTCGCAACAGGGCTGTAATGGCAGCTGCAGTGAACAGCTGCTGGCAACTCACTGTTTAGTTGATATGCCCCACACACTCACACACCCACAACATGGCATGTGGGGAACTAAGGAGATTTTAAACCTTTTTTTTTACATTATGTCTATGGGGCTATAGTTTAGGTGACAAGTCACCATTTTTTTCATTATGATACATGGATGTATATATATTTGTGTTCGAAGCATAATGCCGTAATGAGTGAAAATGCTTTAGATAGTATAGACGTAACATGTAATATATGAAAAGTTGTTTGTGGTATGCCGGAGCCAACGATGCAGTAGGCCTGTAATAAAGAGGGCAAAAAGGAAGTATACCATGCAAATAAATGTATTTAATCTAAAATCATAATACCATTAATTACATTGTCCTATCAAGAAAGGCTTGTCGTATCTCTTGTACAATTTGTGGAATACATTGAAAATAAGCAGAGAACTTCCAGCATCCTAGCGTTTTAATAATGTGTACCAGAATGTTCTTACTTGAGGCAATGGATGCTGTCCCTATTCTAAAGTAGTGAGTTAGAGGTGTTAAGACCAATTCTCATTAATAAAACATGTACATATAACATGAATTTGGCTGCGGTAAGTATAGATCCATGTAGCAATAGTAATGGTTGTGTTGAGTGTTGGTGAGGGGAGAGTAGATATTTGTCCAATACCATTACTGAGCTCCATTTGTTATGTGTAGGGTAGTATGGGATGTCAATCGTATGGCCCATTTGACTTGTTTTTGTTTGGGGTAGAGAGATTCTGTAATGATCATGAAGTTTGTTGATATAAGACCTTTTAAGATTATTAATGGTGGTTGAATTAATGGCGGTGAATTCTCTTGTTCTGTGGAAACCAAAAAAAGCCAGTTAGATAGCTGTTTTTATTATTTGATTTGTATGATGTTCAAAGGATGCTGAGTCCAACAGATCAGATAGTGACTTAAAAGGGAAGTCTCGTTGGGGGGGGGGGGGTACAGCGGAATTAAGCCAGGAGGAGGCAGAGAAAATTCACCTGGAGACTAAGTCAGTTGGGGCCAAATCCCCCACCCGAGGTAGTGGCGCAAATTATGGGGCAAGTATACGCTGCCCAGATGGCACAGCAGATGAACCTGCAGCAAGCAGAGGCAACCCCTGCTACCAGGATCTATAAATGGAGGGCAGCATAAAAAGATTAATTATGCTGCTTTTAAAAATTTTGCTGACAAAGAAATGGAGATTGACACATATTTGCAAGATTTTGAAAGACAATGAGATTTTGAAAGAAAATGACTCTGGAGGGTCTGGATAAAGCAAGCTGGGCTGCGATACTGAGCAGCAAGTTATCCGGCCGAGCGGCAGAAGCTTACCGGGCTGTACCTGACTCAGACATACATAACTACAAACAGGTAAGAGACGTTTTGCTAGCCCGGTACGCTGTCACTCCTGAAGCTCACAGGAGAAAATTTGGGGGATTAAGAAAGGGGAGCAGAGATTTCTATACTGAATAGGCATTTCGGATGCACCAGGCAGCCAGCAACTGGGTGCAGGGCTGTCAAGCAACAACCTTGGAGGATGCTGTACAATTGATATTACTTGAACAGTTCCTCGACCACACTCCAACGGAGACCAGGGACTCGGTAAGAGATCAGTAGCCTGGTACAGTGGAGGAGGCCGCCGGTTGGCCGATGAATATCATGATGGGAGGAAAGTGGACGCTAGCGGCAGGCGACCCATCCTCAGGTCCTCATACCCTCATACCCGGCACATAGCACTCCCAAGCGAAACCAAGGGAGCTGGGAAAGGCTAGCACAACAACCAGCTGGGACCTCCGCTCACTGCTATCACCAGGAGGTCACCAAGGCTCAAGGGCACAGCGAGGAGCAGTGGACTGTTCTGCACGAAGCCAACCTGGTCCAGGCTGCAGGCCACAACAGTGAGCACCACCAGCAGTGGGTCACCATTGACGGCCAGGAGGCCAGCGGCTTGAAAGACACCCTCACCCTAGTGCATCCGCACAAGATAAGTGCCCAAGCCCATACCCACAAAATGTTAGCTGTGTGGGTGGTGGGAGGAGCCATCCATAAGCTCCCCATGGCTCGAGTGCACTTGTAGGTGGGCATCATGAAGAAACTACCAGCCATGGTGTTACTGGGAAATGACCTGGGCTGTCTGACCTCCCAACTTGCCCCGCCTTCCCCAGAGGAGACATACCTGGTGACCACAAGAGCACAAGCCTGCCAGGGGGAGCCATCGCACTCCGAGGACCCTCAGGTAGGACCCTATGCCCCCCCTCCCAGCTGAAACCCCTCTCCCATTTTGGGGTACACCACAGGGATTCAAGCAAGAGCAGAGGACAGACCCCACATTAGAAGGGCATAGGAGTCAGGCTGCGTCTTCCCAAGGAGATATAGCCCATGAAGGATTTGAGGGGGAAAAGGGGTTATTATACTGGGTGACAGGGGGAGTGGGGCTGCGCAGATACGCAAAAGGCAGCTGGTCATACCCTGTAAATATAGGGCTGAGCTACTCTGGCTCAGCCACGACATTCCCCTAGCTGGATATCTGAGTGTCTGGAAAATGAAAGACCGGCTAACCCAGACCTTCTTCTGGCCAGGGATCACACAGGACCTACAAAATTATTGTAGGACGTGTGACACTTGCCAGAAGACAGGGAAGAGGGGTGACCACCCAAAGGCAAAACTAGAAACATAGAAACATAGAATGTGACAGCAGATAAGAACCATTCGGCCCATCTAGTCTGCCCAATTTTCTAAATACTTTCATTAGTCCCTGGCCTTATTTTATAGTTAGGATAGCCTTATGCCTATCGCACGCATGCTTAAACTCCTTTACTGTGTTAACCTCTACCACTTCAGCTGGAAGGCTATTCCATGCATCCACTACACTCTCAGTAAAGTAATACTTCCTGATATTATTTTTAAACCTTTGTCCCTCTAATTTAAGACTATGTCCTCTTGTTGTGGTAGTTTTTCTTCTTTTAAATATAGTCTCCTCCTTTACTGTGTTGATTCCCTTCATGTATTTAAATGTTTCTATCATATCCCCTCTGTCTCGTCTTTCCTCCAAGCTATACATGTTAAGATCCTTTAACCTTTTCTGGTAAGTTTTATCCTGCAATCTATGAGCCAGTTTAGTAGCCCTTCTCTGAACTCTCTCTAAGGTATCAATATCCTTCTGAAGATACGGTCTCCAGTACTGTGTACAATACTCTAAGTGAGGTCTCACCAGTGTTCTGTACAAAGGCATGAGCACTTCCCTCTTTCTACTGCTAATACCTCTCCCTATACAACCAAGCATTCTGCTAGCATTTCCTGCTGCTCTATTACATTGTCTGCCTACCTTTAAGTCATCATCAATAATCACCCCTAAATCCCTTTCCTCACATGTTGAGGTTAGGACTCTATCAAATATTCTGTACTCTGCCCTTGGGTTTTTACGTCCAAGATGCATTATCTTGTACTTATCCACATTAAATGTCAGTTGCCACAATTCTGACCATTTTTCTAGTTTACCTAAATCATTTGTCATTTGGCTTATCCCTCCTGGAACATCAACCCTGTTACATATCTTAGTATCAGCAAAAAGACATACCTTACCATCAAGACCTTCTGCAATATCACTAACAAAAATATTAAAGAGAATGGGTCCAAGTACAGATCCCTGAGGTACCCCACTGGTGACAAGTCCAAGCTTCAAATATATTCCATTAACTACAACCCTCTGTTGCCTGTCACTCAGCCACTGCCTTACCCATTCAACAATATTGGAATCCAAACTTAAAGATTGCAGTTTATTGAGAAGCCTTCTATGTGCAACAGTGTCAAAAGCCTTACTGAAATCTAGGTAAGCAATGTCTACTGCACCACCCTGATCTATAATTTTAGTTACCCAATCAAAAAAATCAATAAGATTAGTTTGGCATGATCTCCCTGAAGTAAATCCATGTTGTCTCTGATCTTGCAATACATGTGTTTTTAGGTGTTCAACAATTCTATCCTTTAACATGGTTTCCATTACTTTCCCCACTACTGCAGTAAGGCTTACTGGCCTATAGTTGCCCGACTCCTCCCTACTACCTTTCTTGTGAACGGGCCACAATAGGTGTCCTAGTGTCTGCCTGCAGGGGGACTGCCTGTGCTGACAGGCAGTCCCACTGCTGCTGTAAAAAAATAAAGGTTATGTTAATAAAAAAAATAGAATTATATATGTGTGTATATATATGATATATAGACATATATTATATCTGTATAATATATGTCTATATATCATATATATAATGTCATATAATGTCATACTAATATATATAATGTCATACTAAGTGTATTTTTATATTATATTATATATACATATATTTACTGATGTCTCGAACGGTTCGCGAACGGTTCGCCACGGACTCATCATTGAGTAAACTTTGACCCTGTACCTCACAGTCAGCAGACACATTCCAGCCAATCATAGCAGACCCTCCCTCCCAGACCCTCCCACCTCCTGGAAAGCTCACTAAGAATGCAGCTTCACAATGAATGTAAAATGGATGCTGTCCAGGAGGTGGGAGGGTCTGCTGCTGATTGGCTGGAATGTGTCTGCTGACTGTGAGGTACAGGGTCAAAGTTTACTCAATGAAGAGTCCGTGGCAAACCGTTCACGGCGAACCGTTCGGCGAACCGTTCGGGACATCACAATTACACACGTGTATATATAATATATATATAATAACTATATATATTGTATATATATATATATTATTATAAAATACAAATAAGTAAATTAAATTAAATAAAAAATGTAAAAATAATAAAAAATTTAAAAAATTATATATCTATAAGAAATTTTATTATAACTGTATTTTGATATTAATATATATATTTATATCAAAATACACTTAGAATGAAATTGTATATATCTATGTATAAATAAATAGATTATACGATACATACATATGTCCATATACAAAATGACATAAATAATTATATAAATATACACGTATACTTCAAATATATAAATATGCATATATATTTAAATTCTACATGCGTATTTATGTAATATTTTTACATAATTAAGTAATTTTATTGATTGCAATTTGAGGGACCTGCCTGACAACCCAGGCCAAAATTCCAGAGAATTTAAGTTGCTAGCACTGTATTTTACCCTGTATCTTTCTACGACACCCTAAAACCTGTACATGGGGGGTACTGTTTTACTCGGGAGACTTCACTGAACACAAATATTAGTGATTCAAAACAGTAAAACATAGCACAGCGATGATATTGTCAGTGAAAGTGACTTTTTTTGCATTTTTCACATCCAAACAGCACTTTAACTGATGATATAATTGTTGTGATACGTTTTACTGTTTTGAAACACTAATATTTGTGTTCAGCAAAGTCTCCCAAGTATAACAGTACCCCCCATGTACAGGTTTTATAGCATTTTTGAAAGTCACAGGGTCAAATATAACAGTCAAATATTTTTAAAAAAATTTAGCAGTTTTTTATTTAGCAGTTTTTTCCATTAGCTTTTGTAGATGAGTAAAAGATTTTTCAAGTAAACGTAAAAAAAAGTATTTTTTTCAATTTTTCATACTATTTTTTTATTTTTTTTAAATTAAATTACATGAGATTATATAAATAATGGTATGTAAGGAAAGCCCCTTTTGTCCTGAAAAAAAATAAATATAATTTGTATGGAAACAGTAAATGAGAGAGCGGAAAATTACAGCTAAACATAAACACCACAAAAGTGTAAAAAGAGGCCTGGTCATTAATGTACAACATCGCAAAAACAGTCCGGTCCTTAAGGGAATAGGATTTGTCCTTCATGATGAAAAAACGTGGAGACTGAAAAGGACCTGAAAAAAAAAACTTGATTCACTTCTTGTTTAATTAATGAGTTGAAAATCTCTGGTTCTGATAAGGCAGTTTGTAAATTCATGCACTAAATTATGCCTGAAGACATGTAGATAATACCCGTATGGAACCCTTCTGAAAAACCTGACACTAGGAAACTCACCAAACGTGGGGTGGTTACACAGCATGTTGGATGAAGCAACCACATTTAGCGATGTCAAGTATGATTTATGTAACATTTTATTTGACACATGTTTTAGGGTGAGCAATATAGTATTGAGAGCACACATACAGAAGCCTGCAGGCACTTTAATCACAAGTGTCGGCATTAGAATTATTACAAATCTGGGACCTGCCCAAGAAAAGTTCCAACTCTATGTGTTTTACCAGCAGGGCTGTGGATGTAAAGGTTTGGAGAAACCTCGGATGTGTTAGAGCAGAGATTGGCCTGTGTGATGTTGATGAACAGATTGCACAGGCTGATGTCCTGAGGCTTGCAACATGTCTGCAAAAAAGTTCCTTGTCCAGTCAGCTCCAGTTAATCTTGATATTGAACTGGGTGAGAGCTGCAGACACCTTTGCGGAAAAGGACCCATGGTAGTCGTAAAATGCTGTAATATTTGTGCCCCAAGTCCACCAGCTTGTTCAAATACAGGTCAAATTCCTCTCTCCATTTGGGGTAAACAGAGCAGAGTACATCCCTGTAAATGCCAAAAGCTAACACAAATTCAGGGATTGCAAGTTTTCTATTAGGCCTAGAATCCCTTGCGTTCAATACCACAGACAGATCATCATATGAATAGGTCCTGTTGTCCACAATATCCTGGGAGGCAATGAGGAGCGAAACAAAATTAACGTCCTTGCCCTCCAGGATATCCTTCTTGACATTAGACAATACCATATGAGAAGGATTGATACCGGGTATTTTTTCAAGGAAGACAAAAAATACCCGGTTGTGCTAGAGGAAGTCCCTTTGGGTTAATGGTGCTTGGCACAGCTGGTTACATGGCCAGGCTGCCAGACTCCAGTCTTTCCAGTTTGTCATTGATCTGTCCAATGGAAGAACCTTCCCCAGCATCAGGATTATCAGTATTGGTATTCATGAGTCTAAATAATTCGGCTTTTCTGGCTGTAGCCAGATACGGTATATTCTGCCTGTGAAGTTCAGCAGTATTCCTTAGAATAGACCATGATCTAATATACGCTAGGCTAGCCATCTCCACTCTGTGGGCAGGTGTACCAGACCTAGCAGGGGTGCTGGGGAGAGACAATTCTTCTCCACCTTCGGGAACTTGAGACATACTAAAATGTAAAGTAACAATTAGTGTAATTCCTACAATATACTGGCAAGCTAGCTAGTAGCAAGTGGTGAAAATTTGAACTAATGTAGGTGACAGGTGAGGCCCTGCTAGATGTCAAGCGGCATAAGAGGCTCTGTCTATGCATTGTGCTGAGAGGATTTCATGGCCACTGAACGTTGTGGCTAGGTATCAGGCTGTTGGTGAATTTTAAAGCATAAGACAGAATGGGAATGACAGCTGAGGCCCTCTCTATGCCACCATGCTAGGTGAATAACTGTTGGAGTTGGACCGCTGGGTGAAGTACCTCTGATAATTAGAATAGATGTTGGACTCACGGGTCCACTACTCAAAAGGCATAGAGGCTTGAGAAATTATCATCTATTGGACTCCTAATTCCCTGGGAGCTAGTAACCATACTCATTAAGGATGTAACATATAATAGAGTAGTAACTTTGTAGTAACTAATTACTAATTAGTATTAACTATTTTGTAGGAAATTGACATACCTGGATTTGTGAATTTCAAGTATGTAGTATACACTCAGTGAGAGCTCTATGGGCGAGACCTATAGGAGTAATGACAATTGTTGTAGGAAGATTCGAAAGTGAAATGGAATGACTATATATAACAGGAATACCTACCAGGCTATTAGCTGACAAGCAGATTCAATAATAAAGCAGGTGATCGTGTTGTAATTGGAAAGAACTAGCACCTAATAATAAAAGAGATGTGTAAGCGTATTAGAATACCTATGGATTGTAAGAGCCAGATAGTGGACCCGGACATAATTATGATTTTGTGACCGACCTACCTAACCAGCAAGGTACAAGGTAGGATAAGCAAATGCTGCCCTGAAATGATGAGTACCCTGTAACCTGTATAAATTAAAACATGATATTCATAACGAGTGATGACCTACAAACCAGATA